TCTCCATTCTTTGAATTGTAATGTGAGGGTAGGTTCAATTTTGTTTTTAGAGAAACAAAGAAGACCATTTAGGAAATGGCTATGATTTGTTGTATTCAGAAGACTAACCAATTATGTCTTCATATGGTGCTGAAATCCTCAACAGAAACAGAGTGCACACAGTTACATATTTAATGTTAAAAGAATTAAGTTTCATGGTTCATCAACTTGTGAAAATTAAACAACTATTTTTTTCTATGCCTGTTAAATGCCAGGCATAGGGGGAAGCACGAGGTCCCTGAAAGAAGTATAACAAATATTTCTCTTTGGGGAAATAGGACCAGTAAATCGGTACCTCTATAATTGACAAGAGAAATCTGCCTGAGGAATATGAGTGATACTTCCTGAGTATTAGAAAATGATTGCCATTATTTATCGGAGATGATGTAGACCACATTAAAAACCCAAGTAGAAGATGCAGATGGAAGGGTTTTGTGGGGCCAGAGGCCCAGCCCTCCACAGATAGATGTGGCCTGTGCTCCCCACCGGGCTGCACCTGCTCAGTCTCACCTTCATGCTGGGCTCCCTCCAAGCATGGAAGCCAGGGCTGCTGGGCCAGAGACAGGGTCAGCAAACTATGACCCCAGAGCAAAATCTGGCTCCAGATCGGCTAGTGTGCCACCACGAACTAAGAGTTCTTTCTACATTTTTAAAAGCTATAAAAACTTTTAAATATATGCAAGAGGTGTTATGTGACCTAAATATCTCAAGATACTTACAGTCTTGACCTTTCCAGAAAAATATTTGCCCATCCCTAGTGTAGAGTAAATGCACCCCGACTTTTTGTTGATGCAATTCTACATAAAGAGTCGTTAAGTATGCACATCAATTACCTTCAATGTCAGAGAAAATTGGGACAGATACTGAAATGGGCAACAAAGATTCCTGGAAGTCCTTTATAACACATTTCTCCAGGGAGGGTTTTTTAACTCTACAGGGATCTTTCAGTGTCTGTAATCTATTTTATGTACAAGTCTGTAATTTCTAGATTCTACAGCAATGCAAATGACTTTTGTCCATAGAGTTGCAGATTAATTCTATCTGGCAGTGGCTCAATTTACAACCCTACCCCCTGTGGCAAAAATCAGTTTTGTATATTTTAAGCATATTGGTTTCAGCATTCCTGGTCGCCCAGTTCTCTGTTATTTAGATTTTCTTTCAACTCACTGTAACTTCTCACAGGTTTCTTTAGCAGTGAGTGAGTTAAATAAAACCTTGGACATGAGTTCATTTTATGCAATATATGAATTTACCATTTTAAAAATTAATATATTTAATAATCATTAATTTAATGATATCAATCCAATTATGCTATATAAGATTTTTTTTGCTAAATTAATATACTTAAATCATAATAAGATGGAAACTCAAAATGTTAAGCTGCGAAAAGAGCATTTGGTTCTTTGCAAAGTAGAATGTGAAATGAACACACTATTACCTATCACTATAATTTTTAATACACTGTTTTTTTTGGTTATCTTATTATTATGAAAGAAAATAAACACTTAAAACAAATACTATAGGTAATTGAATTCAAATTTCCTAAGCACACTGAAGAGGCTTTTCAAAAATATGAATATCATATTAACTACCTAGTGTGTATTTCTGCATAGTTGTCAATGTAAGTGGATTTTTTTTTAATGTTTGATGGAAACATACAGGCTAATGATCAAGCATAGCCAGATTAATTAACTCTGGAGTTATAGCTTCAAAAGTGCCTCCATTAGTCTCCTCTTAAAACACACACTGATTCATTGATGTTTTCACAAAGCTAGTTCTCAGCATCTTTGCCATCATTTAAAATATATTTTCATTGGGCCTCCTCTGGTGGCGCAGCGGTTGAGCACTGGGCTGCAAAGCTGCCCACAGCCTCTGCAACGCCCGTTCAATCCCTGGCCCCCAGAGAGGGTCCCACATGACGCGACAGACCTCTCCTGCCGCACCCGCTGCTCCCTTCAGCAGCGTATTTCGTCAGTCTGCCTGCTCTGCTCCCCGCTCTGGCTCTGGTGAATTCTCTCACCTTCCCGCGCTTCTGACTGTACCCAGTGCTTGTATAAATAAATAAATAAATCTTTAAAAATAAATAAATAAATAAAAAAAGTACATTTTCATTATGGGACAAGTCTTCAATAATGCCACGGATGGTCCACTGTCAGATGTCAGCTGTTTGGCAGCTATACTAATATCCACCACCACGAAACAGTGCCACCGTCACCCAGAGCAATGACCAATCAGAAGACCCACATGCAGAGGCTGTTCTAGAAAAATCTATGGCAGTGCTGTATTTTTAAAAATCAACTGCTTCCAGAAGAGTAGTAATTTTCCAATCTATCCATTAAAGTTGAGTTTCAGGCTGGTTGTTTTTAATTGTAAGAGACGGACACACACATTTCCTTAAACATATACTAAAAAAGCACCTGCTAGAGAATTATGTGATTAGATTACTCATGTGAAGAAGAATCTTTGTCTGTAAACTAGTGGTAGAATTTAAAGTTGAAAGGCATTTTCTATAACACCAAAGTTAAAAATCCATAGGCTGCACTATGTAAAAGTCCTCCCCTCTTTTTAAGAAGGTACCTGCAAAATATTCACTGAACAAGGAAATTGCTAAAATTCAAGAAATTAAAACATACTGTCGTAGAGGTTTCTAGTAGTTTTGTCTTTGTTACAAATGTTTAGTAATTCTGGTTAGATGCAAATAGAACCTGGTAAGAGATCTGACATCTCTTTCGGTGGCTGATAATTGAGTGGTGTTTGCAGTTTTGTCTTCCATGCCAGTACCTATGTCTACTGCCTCAGTCACAGAAAGCACTGAAATGAATAAAGATACATTGATCTTCTTATGGCACTTACGTACCTATAAATGCACAGACCTCCCACATGGCACCTATAAGCCAACACATACACACACACACACACACACACAGTGCATATATAGTACATTATATGTGGGAGTATATAAATGGTACGTGTCCATGGTATCTATAGCCGTATAAGCACATGGTATTCCTATATGTCCTTTTATACATAATTTATATACATATGGGTGAATTTTCATGCAATAATGTTAAACTGAAATTTGGCTCTTTTATAGTAAGAGCCTCCCCTCCTTGGCAAGCTGTATTTGCAGCTTGGACACGTTTGGCCTGTGTAGACATCTGAATCTCAATCCCTTAATCTGAGAGGGTCTCTGCGGCACCAATGACTTTGAACTGCAACAATGACTATTGTTGGTTCAAGTTGTGAATCTGAATTCTTAATGAAGAGGGGGAATGTCACAAACACCTCTTTTCGGCTTTCAATATGACATGACTTCAGGAATGAGCATATTGATGAGTTTGCCTGGTTGGTGAGGACACGCTGATCTGGTCAGAACTTCCATAATCTTCCAAGTTTCCAGGCCCTGTTTAGTTCTAGCCAAAATTTACTCTGGTCCCCAAGGACCCAGGTCCCAGTTCAGTCTGCCATGGGACAGGACATGTGGGTCGGCACATATATCTGTTCTAAACAGGCCACAAATCAGCTCTCCTATTTCCTTACTGACTTACTCTACAGTATTTTAAGATAAGCAGAAAAGCACAAAGATTATATAGAATGAATTATTCCTTACTTGTGTCCCATTCCACTTATTCTTAGCAGCCATCATGATGTATTATTCATAATAATTTATGTGTATGTCTCCCTGTATAGACTCAAAGTCCATGCTGGCAATAAATCATTGTTTATGAAACATTATTCATTAATCTTCACATCATCATCATCTAGAGCAGTGACTGGCACAGAATAGAAGTCACTGCTCATTCTGTGCAAATGAATAAAAGGGAAACAGGTATTTTGATGAACAAATCTTGTTCCAAATTGAAATAATTCTGTGCTTTCACAAGTAGAAATTTTCATAAAAATTCTCTATAGATTTATCACTTGTATATGAATCAAAACCAGCTATCCCATTACAGTGGCTTATGAATCCCTATGATAGAATCTGTGATCATTGACCATAACATGGAACTTTAGATATCTGCATTGCCAAGTCAGGGAACACTAACGCAATTTACTCCTATATTTTCAATAAATGTCAGAATAGCAAAGAATAAGAAAAGGTGACATGAAATTGAATTTTTCTGGCCATTTAGCTTCAGAGATCATATGAGCATAAACTCCTTATATAAATTAAAAATATGAACTTATAAAACTCATCATTAACTCAAAGAATTGAGTGAAAAAATAGAATTGTATATGAAAATACTATAGCTACTTTAATCAAAGTAGAAATAAAATGTATATATTTACAGAATATTGACATTAAAACACCCAAATGACAACTACCACTAAGCAAATATTAAAAAATCTCCCAACTACTTATCAAAAACAATCCCATCTATAACAGTAACTCTATCATTAACTTTAGGATAAAATAATTTTGAAACAAGCTACATTTTCCAAGTCAATTCTAAATAATTCTAGTTTTAGCATTTATGTTATAGACTATCAAAGTTATTTGCAACATGATGCACATTGACTCAAAAATAATTTTTTGAAACTAACTAAAAAGAAGCCAGAGAACAGTAACTTCAGCTGAATTTAAATGTTTCTGCAGATACTTACCTACTTACCAGCAAACGGTCTTTATAGTGCAGCTCAAACTAATGGGAAATATTCTTAGGAAAGTAAGATCAATTGCTTGGAAAACACTGAGACAAAGCTATCCCGGGAAATCAAATCCATAGGGGCCTATTTATTACTTCACTTTGCCTACCTTTTAGAAAAGTGTGAAACTGTCACATTTATCACAGTCTAACATTTTCATACAAAATCTGTGGCCCACTATTTTCATATACATGAACGAAATGATTTTCATCCCAACGGGAAAAAGGGCAAACTGTCTGCCATCAGAGAGCAGGAAAAGACACCTGCAGAGGGCAGGGGAGGGGGAACAGCAGGGCGCCCCAGAAGCCTCATACCTTGCTGGGGCCTCGCAGGTCGCTCTGTGATGTCGTCAAGCCCAGGCCAGTGGTGCTTCCTCTCCGTTTCCCTCCCAGGAGCTCTTCCATCTCTTTCACCTGGACCTTCAGCCTTTGATTTTCTCTCTCCAGCCCTTGTTTTTCTGTTTCAAACATCTCCCTCTGGTTCCACTCCGAGGTCTTTTCAGCCTGCAGTCTCTCTGGCTAAATGAAGGGAACACAGAGAAGCAGCTGGTCACATCTGTAATTGCAAAAGCTAAGGCACCCACAAGCAGGCCCCCCAAGACAGGTCCACGGGGTTCTGGCTCAGGACGTCAAGCTGTGCGCATAGGCAGATCCTCAGCTCTGTCCTCCCAGGACACACCCAAAGCCCAGAGACTTAAGAACACTCCTTCCTTCCCTCACCAGCCCCTTCCTTCCTTTTTATGTGATAACATTAGTTTACGACATGACATAGGTGTCAGGTGTACAGTTTCTCTCCTCAGCAGCTGTACATAACACCTCTCACCCACACCAGAGTTCCAGTCACCGTCCACCATCAACCATTCTGCCCCCTGGACCGAGTCCACCCCACCCACACCCCATGGAAACCATCACTCTGCTGTTGGAGTCTAAGGGTTTGTTGTTATTTGGTTTGATCTTTGCTTTGTTTCCTTAATTTCTGCAAATGAGTGAGGTCACAGGCTACTGTCATCTTCTGACTTCTTTCATGCACCATAATCCCCTCAAGGCCCGTCCTATGTACGGAACAGTTTTCTCTGGGGATTAAAAAAAAAAAAAAAAAAAAAAAAACAAAACCCAAAGTCTAGCAGAGCAACTTCTGCATATTGGCAAGAGGAAACCCATGTCCAGGTGAAGGTGGCAGAGCAACTTCTGCATATTGGCAAGAGGAAACCCATGTCCAGGTGAAGGCGGCAGTGGAGGCTGAGACAGTCTCACAAACATTCACACGCACACCCTGGCTCAGCCACCACAGTCAGGAGGGAGCTGACAGCCCTGAGCTGCTTCCTGGGGACCAAGGACTCCAACCCCACCATGGTCCCCCCATCTCTCAAGATCTGCACTTAAGGAAAAAGCAATTTAGGGGCCTCGCTGGTGGTGCAGCGGTTAAGGTCAGCGCAATCAAGTTATTGGCATCTACTGTGGCATGAGTCCGATCCTGGGCCAGGGGTGACCCACATGGCACAACAGACCTCTCCGGTCAGGCCACTGCTCCCCTCAGCAGTACATTTTAGCAGATCCACCTGTCCTGCTCCCCGCTCTGACTCTGGTGAATCCTCTCACCCCCTGCACCTCTGGCCTGCACCCCAGCTCTTATATACATAAACAAATAAATCTTTTTTTTAAAAAGGGAAAAAGCAATTTAGTCAACAAGATAAACATTACACTTCAATAATATCTTTGGAAACAAATTTAGATTAAAAGTGTTTAAAACTGCTACTTCACATACATATGGTTGTACCATTATTGGAGAAAATGTTCTGTCCTGCATCTAAATGAGGCCGTTGCTTCTAAAGAACAGGAAACCAAAATGACATTCTTGGCACTAAATCCTTTTTATCAATTAAATATAATAAACTGAGGGAGTATACATTAGATGATGTGGTTTGACAGCCGGGGTGTCTGTTGAGGATATGAAGTGAAACGTGTTTCTTGATCCAATTTGGAAATGACATTACTTTAATTTTTAAGATTAATGCTTAAACATTTTGACCATCATCACATCACTTATCAGAATAAAAATAATAAAGCTGTAACAAAAAGTCACCGCTTAGTGATGAAAAATTAATTTTAGGAGAAAAATGTAATTTGTCCAAGGGCAAATATAATGCATTAAATGCCAAGTCTTTGTAAATTTGGAGATACTTAAATTTTATACCTAATAACTGATAACCGATAGACTGAGGCTTTAAGTAAGTAATGGATGGCATGAATGAACACATTCTAAATCTTTAACACAATAATTAAAAGAAGGAATGATTTTAACAGCAGTAAAATGAAACTTAAACAATTATGTCTAATTATATACTAGTTGCAGCTATTTGCTTGATCCACCAATTGTCTAACAAATGTATATGTCCAACACATCAAAAAGAAAAAATTCTATAACAATTAGAATATCATAAAAATTAAAAGAAGTTTCATTTTTGTTTCCATTTTGCAAATCTCTGTTGTCAGTGTATTCTTTTCCAAGAATCATATGAAAATCCACCACCTTGAAAGTCGTTCAATTGAATGCAGATTAAAATAATGAAGGAAAAACTCTGTTACCATGTTGGCTTTCAGAGTTTATAGCAAGCAAATCTAATACTATTATCAAATTACAATGGATTCCCATTGATTTGCATGCAGTGATTAAGAGAAAATCCTAAAATATTTTAATCCTAACTCTAATGTACTGTGAATTTTAACTAAAGTAGGTTTTAGTGTTAAAAGAATTTCAAATAATATAGGAATTATTGAAATTATCTTCTAAATTTTTTTTTTTGCAATTGTAATCTGCTTTATTTTTTTTTAAAATAATAAATTTTATTTTTATATTCCCCCATACAATTGCAAACGCCCCATTCTGACCCCAATCCTTCCCCCGCCCCCCCACCCCCCAAAAAGTGTCTCTGGTTCATAGTTTTTTGTTGATTTTGATTTTCACTTTCTTATATTCATTTTCCTGGTCCCTTATTTAAGTTTTCTAAAAGTAAAAGTATATTCTAATCAGAGCTCACTGAAATATTTGTGAATTTAATGACTTTTAATTTTATGCATAATGAACACTGAGAAAAAAATACATAAATGGCTAACCAGTTATCTGTTTAACAAATATTTACTCAGTTTCTTGTATATGTCAGGCACTAAAGAGGCACCAATATCCTACTTTCAAAATACAAATAACTATGTAAGTACCAAGCAGGTGGTAGTTCATGAAGGAGAACCCCTGGGTACTGAGAACCACCTGCAAAATTAGGCAATCAGAGGAGGTTACCTGAAGAAAAACATTATTTAAGCCGAAACCTGAAGCTTAAGAGGGTAGCGAAGCAGAATCAAGGCAAAAGTGTCCCAATAAAAGAAGCGGGAAATAGGCTTTTGCATTAGAAGAGCCAAGAGTTGAAGCATAAAGTAGCAGGATTTGGAGAGAATATGATATGAAAGGAAATTGGACAAGCAATCCCTGGTTCTCAAAAGTAAGTATAAATATAAGGCTCACTTGAGTTGCTTGTGGAAAATGTAGTATTGTGATTACCCCTAAGGAGAGAATAATGGATCATTTCAAGCATGTTCCTCTATGAATTCTATCTTCATCAGTGGTCATTGCATGAGACTGTGTAAAGGACACGCCAAGATTCTAATCAATACCATAACTAGAATGTTTAAGTCTTGTCGAAATCTTAACTGCTTTGTCATTTTGCTCTTAAACATGGCACCTGGCACAGATATGAAAATGTTCCAGCAATACCTGTGGAAGGAAGGAATCTCCTCTACGAGAAAGTGTCCCCCTATTTCGATTACAACAATTACACACAAAGTGAAATTAGCACAGCAAATTAGAAGAACCAATATTTACTGTACCATTAACTAACACCAAAGGATTTCTCGGTACATTTATTCTGAACTCTTACTACCCTTGTCATAGTTCCATCACATTCTGTAGTTGGAGAGTGCAGTGAGATCAAGGATTTTCAGCAAAATGACCTGGAGTTATAAGGGCTGATAGATTCCAAATTCTTTTGACTCTGAGACCCTCCACTTTCCATTTATAAAACAAGGAAATTATTCCTTAAAACCTGATATAATGTTGTGAGGCAGAAATTAATTATTTAGGGGAAATTTTTATTAACTTTTCAAACTTAACCCAACTATTTCTTGTCATAATTTTGTTTTCTAAAGAACAATCTATCTCAACAGTCAATTCAAATATGACAGATCAAAGAGTGTGTTAAATTTTTAAGATGATAATCATTTTGCAAATGGACCTTGTCCACTAAAAAAACCCAACTAGAAAGCACAACATGCCTTTCTGCCTGTCAGAGAAGTCACCCAAGACCAGTGTCGATGTTCCAATAATAGATCTGATTTATTCAAAATTGTTTTTTCAGACAAGTCAACCATAAATTCTCATTATCAATACTGTTATTTTGGAGGTCAGAAGTGAAGAGCAGGATGTCTGTGATCCTACTAGTAAGAGGTCATTCCCCATTTACTGAAGACCTCATTTATTTCTGGCAAAGAGCTCTACATTTCCCACCAGGAGGAAACTGACGCCTAAGAGTTGAAGTCACCCTCAAAGTGGGCAGAGCCCATGGCGTGGTTCTCCTCGAGTTTATCCAATTCCAGTTCTGAGTTCTTTCCCCAGATACCTGCTGGCAGACAGCCAACTAATGAATGCATAGTCCTTACAGTAGCTCGGGGCTGACACCATTGTACTACACCACAGCAAGGCTGTCATTATGCTTTGTTTGGTTTGGGTTTATTAGGGATTGGGTTCTTGTTTTGTCTCTACCAGCATACCAATTTAGAGGAGAGGAGATTTCTGTAGACTCACATTCAAAATTCATGCCTAAATGCAGTCTGAATATTATTGATATCACCCCTGGATCTTTTAACATTCTTACTCTAACCTTGGTTAGAATCACAAATAAGAATTGAAGAAACTCCCTCCTAAATCAAATGCTGTCCATTGTTCAATAGAACTCAGTGAGAGCTCATTTTCTCTTTTACCAAAAGTCAACAGAACTATGAATGATGTTAGTAATGTGTAATGTCATATATGTTTTTGTTATTTTAAATCAATGGAACACTTCTCAAAGCAAAGGTTCCCAGAAATAATTTGAAACAAAATACGTGCAGAAGTTAAGTAAAAGAAGAGGGAGCTGCATGCAAAAATAAACTTAATCCAAACACAGATCTTCCACACTTAGCAAAAATTAAATAAAAAATGGATGACAGACTTAAATGTAAAAGGCAAAGCTATAAAACTCTTAGAAGATGGATAACAGAGGAGGAAATCTTGATGCCCTCAGGTTTGGTGATAACTTTTTAGATACATAATCAAAGGCATGATTCATGGAAGAAATAATTGATAACCTAGTTTCATGAAGATTAAAAACCTTGGCTTTGTGAAAGACAATGTCAAGGCAATGACAAAAAAAGCTGAAGATGGAAATATTTGCAACAGAAATATCTGAAAAAAGGATGGTCATACAAATATATGAAGAATTTTTAAAGTCAGCACTCAAAAACAAAAAAACAAAAACCCAGACATCCCAATTAAATATGGGCCAAGATCTAAGCAGACATCTCGCCAAAAAGAGCTCTAGAGAACAAGTGATTATATTGGAGGATGTTGCATGTCAGATGATATTGGGAAAATGCAAAGAGTGAAAAGGTGAGTTTTTTACAACTCTCCTGCCAAGTTTTGATGTGCTGCAGTGGATTTCCCATAAACTCAGTAAGGCGTGAAACATCACAGAAGCATCGCCTACTGAAGTGGATAAGTGAAATAGTGCAGAGCTTGTGAAATGAGGATCTTGTTCCAATAGTAACAGGAACAAGAGGGTAGATGACAACGTATAATAGACTTAATTTTGTCATTCACCAGTGACATCCTTGCATTGTCTGATGTTAGTAGCAAACATGCACACACACAATGCTGGATGATGCATTAGAAAAATGAATACATTATAAGAAAGTTACAATTAAGTAAGCCATGAAAGTAGATCTTTGTTTCTAAAATCTCCCCTAGAAGTAAATTAAAGAGTAGATGAACTCTCTTGGCCTTTGAGTTGCCAAAGAGATCTCATCAATTTTGGTAGCTGTCAGTATCCAAAGAACATGAAATATGCTGATACTGCCTAAAATGAAGTTTTCCACTCAACTGAGATAATATTTTGCCACTCATTAATTCATATATTCATTTTTTTAAAGTAATTAACCACTTTATGTAGAAGTTAGAGTGACAAGTATGTGTTGTGAAGGTTCAGGCAGAACAGAAAGTTTAACTCTCATTATTAAACACTGGGTAAATGTAAGTAGACGAAAGTGTTTACTGATTTACATAAGGAGCACAGACAG